AATAGTTTCAAACAAAAGTTTAAATAAGTATTACTAAAATAGAGGCTCGAAACATGATGCTCTGATACCAATATGTAACACCCTCAAAACTTACAGACCGATTTTTCACAAATTATTAATTCAACAAATTATTTTTTTTTCATTGAACCCTTATCATGGTAGAAAAATTTCTACCATGATATATCCAAGACAATATACCACAGGTCTTAAAATATCTCAAAAAGCAATTAGAACTACGAGGGACAGACATGATCCTCATAGCATGTTATTCAAACCAGGTCATGAATCAAAAGGGACAGACATAATCCTCTTGGACATATAAATGCATTTAATAAAAAGGATTAGAGTTTACATGCTCCACAAAGAAGATATGTCCTAAGTTGGCACAAGATACATTGTATAATCTAAAATAAGAGGCAACGTAAAAGATGATGTCTCATACACCATAATTACACCTCTGGTGCTTTCTCGGCCGGACTCACTCCTGTAAAAATATTAACCACGGGGAATGAGACTTAAAAGTCCCAGTAACCAAAAATTAATATGTAATGATGCATGCGGATGTAACTAATCATGCGATTGCTAAGTGGGCACACAAAACATTTAACCGAACAATACTTTCAAACAAACTGAACAAGTATTTAATTTGCATGACTGCACCTTATATCCTCCTTTCGCCATGCTCGGACGCCAAATCACCCGGCCAAAGGTGAGTTGGACCAAGCGACACGCCACTCATTGGGTCCAATGAGGGCTTACCACGTGGTAATAATTAACCGAACAGAAATTCCCATTAACACCATACATTAAATACCCTGACAAGTCATGCATCATTCAAATATCCAAACAGGAATATATCCGAACAATAATATCTCATCATGATAAACAAAAATAAATTTTTAACCCACTTGGCAATAATTTCAAACAAGTATATACAGTATTTATTTTCAATAATTCATAATTTTTTTCAAACAATAAAATAACACATAACCATTCACAAACACACCCATCACAACACATTAATAATGGTTACCTTGTGTCTTGAATAACAAGTTCCCCTTCACAACTCCTTTTTCACCACTATCTTTGTCAATATAATCTACATAATTATTTCACAATACTATATATTAATTTTACATTAAAATAAATAAATCTAATTTAAAGAGTTAGAAAGTCTTAGATCTATAGTCCATATTAACACTAATTTAAGATTTATGCCTCATTTAACTTCCCAAATTCTTTTCTAAAATTCTCGTACCCTAATGAACTATTTTTTTTTATCCTCAATTCACTTCTAGTATCACAATTTCTTTATTCTAAAAATTCATCCAAAAATAAATTAAAAATTTTAGAATTATCCTGAAGCCTCAAATCACCTTTCTATAACCTCAAAAATACCTATTCATACTTAAATAAATATTTAATAATCATAGGTTTATCCCTACGTCTCAGATTCCACATAAATTCAACCATATAGATCTAGATTTTAACTCAAAAATTCTTAAACATGAGTTTCAACCTTAAGAAAATATTCTATAATATTTTTTATATCCCTAAGAATTTTAACCTATATTTTTAATCCATCATATCATCAGATTAACTATCCTATAGAAAAATCCTAATCAAAATATTTACTCTATCCTACAAAATAATCATATCACTAGAAAGCTAATATTATTTAGAAAATAACTATAAAATTAATTTTGTAATTAAATAAATTTTTAAATGCTAATCTAAACAGGAAAGTTAGAACATACCTGAAGAAAAAGAAAATAATCCCCCCTTGCGAGAAAACGCCGAGCAACGTGAGAGGAAGAGAGAAAAATAATATAAAAATGGGATTGTGAGTCCCAAAATTATATTAAAAAGAACTATAGGTTTGAATTTAATTATTCAAACCTTTGGGCCAAAAGTTGTAATTTTCTCTAAATTGCATCTTAGCCTCTCATGCTTCCTAATGCACACACCCCCTCCTTTTTATACATGAAGGCACCTCTTCTCTTCCCTCATCTAACCAATGTGGGACTTAGAAACAACAACCTTACACCCCCCGTTTTTTTTGTTCCTTCTACCTTCTCTTTTTTTTTTCAACACATACATAAAAAAAAATTATTTATGTATTATATCTTAACTAAATATTGCTTATGTGGTTTTAAATTTAAATTTTTAAATTCATAATTAAATACCTAACCATAATATTATTTCTAAATAACCTCAAATAATATAAATTTCTATTATTATCATTTTTTTTCCTCAAAACCTAAATTCCACAATTTCTTTATTATATAAAAATCAGGATGTTACATAACACACCCTTCATCTTTACTCATTTATCAACATTCAAAGATTGAAAATCACTACTTTTGTTTTTGAGCATATTAAAGATAAAGTCAAATTATTATTTTATAAAAATTATTATTGTATTGGTTTAAGTCTTGGAATCCTAAATGAAATCCGGTATATACCAATTTTTACACCCAGAGATTGGAATAAGTGAGCAAATTAAGTCTAAAAAAAGTGTTACCTACGACAAATTTCCTCTTTATCTCTGTTTCTTTTATTTGTTAGGGAGTTATTCCACCAACATTTTCTTAAATGTAAATTCCGGGGGATATTATACATACATCTGCCATCTCCATAAGCCTTTTTTGGTGAGTTTCCAAAACTCATGTTGTCTTGACTTTTGTTGTTTATGTTTTTTTTTTACACCAACGATTTTAACTCTCTCTCTTGGCCATTTCAAATGATCCAAACGTCAAAAGGATTTTCAGATGATTTTGTAGCCTAATCTTGTTTTTTTTTTTCTTCCCTTTTTTGCCAACAATTTTGCTGCCAAATCAAAGCATGCTTTCTCGGAGCAGCTTCACATATGTTGGCTTTTATATGGCAAATATTCCTAACCAAGATATAATGAACAATAGCAATGCATTAAATAGAGTAAGCGCATCTATTAATGAATGAAACAACCATAAGTCACGTCAAATTAAGACAATGATAATGATAATTTCTCTATTGCATCAAACTTTGCTTTTAAAATTATTGAAATGTGTTTGGAAATTTTTATCTAAAATCTTAAGGTAAAACGTTTCATGACCGCAATCGTGTCAATCTCATTTCTCAAAAAAAGTATTTAAAATTTTTAGGATATATAAATACCATAATACTTATTGCTTTAAAAAATGTTATTGTTAATATTACCACTATTAAAGCTTAGTTAATAAAAGAAAGTGCATGGAAGTTCAATTTTTTTTATGTGATGGGTATTCACAGTTAATATATGATCATCTTTTAAATATAATTCTTTTTAATAAAGAGACATTTGTATACAATAAAAAATGTATCATATAATAAATTAAAATTATTTGACGTGATTCATATTGGTTGTGATTACATTTAAGCATTCTTGTCCATGATAGTAAATCAATTTATATATGAGTAATATTTTCTTTTAATATTTTGACAAAACGAGATTGGACTAAATGAAATGCTGAGAGCGAGGTAGGCATTGCAATTACTAGAAAATCACCCTTAGCGAAGAACTTTGTTGATAGCCCCTTTATATATATACATACATACATACACAAAAAAGTCAACTTACATAAAAAAAAAAAACTAACGACATTAAAACCCAAATTAAAAGCATATATAAAACATACACAAAATTTTTTGCCAGTTAACATTTGTAATCAGCTCCATACTTCTAATTATTTATTTACTATCATCAAGGTGGCATGGCGCCATAATCGTTGTACTTGAAAAAAATATTGATCTCCCATTTTGGAAGATGATGCTGTATGAAACATTTTTAAAATTTTAAGAATTAAAAGAGTCCTTGTGGTTAATTAAAAATGAGAAAAATATTTTAAATAATGTATGTAAAATATATACATATACTTCCTTTATTAAAAAATGTAAGATATTTTTTGAGGAGTTGAATGTTCAAAAATGTAAGATATTTTTAATCTTTCAAAATGTAATCATTACCTTTTTTTATCCATATTAATAATAACTTTATATTTATTATAGGGTGTTTAATATGGATAAATGTGAAAAGATAGAGTTAATTGAAAAGTAGGTAATTACTTTTTTGAGGAGTGAGATTCAGTTAAAAATGCTTTATATTTTTTAATAGAGAGATTATATATATATATATATATATATATTATTTTTTACAATTATTTATTACATTGTAATCTTTTAAAAATATGAAATATATTAAAATCATATTTAGAATTTCTCTTGACATTTTTTCTGATACTAAATAAGTTGATAAATTCGCAGTGAAATTACAAACTGCATCTTTGATAGTAATATTATATAATTATAAAATTCGTGAACAAATAATAAAAAATATATATGTATAATTCTGTGATGAAAGATATACTATATAATTCAGCGCATGATTATGTGGATGACTATAACACCACAAAATAGACTTAGAGGGACCATGACTATCATTAATTGAAGTTAAAAAGAAGAAAGGGAAGGAAGCAAATGATGGATAATGAATCTAGTTAAAAAAGCGAGAGACAACTCAATAAATCATCGAAATAATTAAATACCCTTCAATCACACGCGCTTGCTTGCATGCTTAAAGCCACAAAAAAGATTTCATCTTCTCCTTCCACAGGTCCGAGAGTTGCGGGTCAGCAGATTGGTGAGAGATTGAGAGAACAAACTGCAAATAATTAACAATGATGGGGTTACTGTAAGTTTGGAGGACATGGCGTTAAACATGCATGAAACCTTCTTCATTAGGACATGCGCCCCACTGACACATGCTGGGCAAGAAGACGAAGATGAACCCAATGACAATCTTATTAGCCAGAAATATTAATATTTAATAGTAATTAATTACAGTAAAATAGGATGGGAGTAAATAATATTATTCTTTTTCGCCCTTTGTCCATATACTCCATTCATAGAAACGTAAAACTATGCCAAGACGCGTAAAATTTAGCAAAAGCTGGTTAAGGTGAGAAATTGATATTTATATTTAGATCATCGAGCTTCATAGTGGGAGAGGAAAAATAGAGAGAGAAAACGTGAGCGGCCGTTTCAACGGCCACCTCCATCTCCATCTCAACATCTGGTTGGCGATGCTCCTCCTTTCCTTATTATTTCGTCTTACTTCCATGTTTCCTACTCTCTCTTTCCGTCCATTTTCTCGGAGAATCAAATCGAGAGACAGATAACAACAGGAGGACGGGGAATCTGAGTTAGCCAACATTCGGGACAACTCAACCATTTGGTCCGTGTAGTCCGATTTCAATTTGCTTGTATTACTGTGGAATCGGCTAATTGAAATGATATGTGAGTTAGGTTTCAGTTTTTTCCTTTCAATGTTTCAATCTTAATTAAAGTTTGAATATTTTTAAGGGCTGAGCTATTGAACTATACTATTTTCGAGAAGGGAAGAAGATGCAGCATAATATCTTCGCTACAATGCGTAGTTTGAAGATAATGGATGGGTGTAAGGGCACTCAGATCTACGCTGTGAGTGATGCTCCGACCGACACAGCCGGCAGTGACAAGCTTATTCAACACCTTCAAGGCCACCTCAGAGCCCAACCTATTCGGTCCAAATCGATGAGGAATCTGAATACGACAACAATTGCTGACGTTGTCGGTGAGGGCCTTCTGCCTTATGGGTTACCCATGACCGATCTTCTAGAACCCCAAATTGAGCCGTGTCTCAAGCCCGTTGATTTTCTCGAAACTCTAGCCGAATTATATCGAAGAATCGAGGCTTGCCCTCAATTCGAGAAATCCAAGGTGTATTTGGAGCAATGCGCAATATTTCGTGGGTTGTCGGATCCGAAGTTGTTCCGACGGAGCCTTCGGTCAGCAAGACAGCACGCGGTTGATGTGCATTCTAAGGTTGTCTTGGCTTCTTGGTTAAGGTATGAAAGAAGAGAGGATGAGCTTATTGGATCATCTGCAATGAATTGTTGTGGACGAAACGTTGAGTGTCCCAAAGCGACCTTACAGCCTGGGTATGACCCAGAACCAGTATTCGATCCTTGTATGTGTACTTCTCGCGTGCCTCGTACTCGTCCAGGGGAGGTCGATAATGAAACATCAATGGATGATGAAGAATGTTCAACTTCCGAGGAAGATGATGGTGATATGTCATTTATCATCGGAGTCACTGAAATTAGGTGTAAAAGGTACAATATATCATCCCTATCGAGGCCATTCAAGACAATGTTGTATGGTGGCTTCATAGAGTCAAGAAGAGGGAAGATAAATTTTTCACAGAATGGGATTTCTGCAGAGGCAATGAAGGCTGCCGAGATATTCAGTAGAACAAGAAGGTTAAGTCAGTTTCCCCCAAACATTGTGCTCGAGCTTCTCTCTTTCGCTAACAAGTTTTGTTGTGAGGAGATGAAGTCTGCTTGTGATGCCCATTTAGCATCTCTGGTTTGTGACATTGATGATGCATCGTTACTGATTGAATATGGATTAGAGGAGACTTCATATCTTCTAGTTGCAGCTTGCTTGCAGGTGTTTCTTAGAGAGCTTCCTAGTTCGATCCGTAGTCCACATTTTATGAGGATTTTTTGTAGCCCAGAGGGCAGAGATAGATTAGCTATGGCAGGGCATGCATCGTTCATGTTGTATTATTTCTTAAGTCAAGTTGCAATGGAGGAAGAGATGAAGTCAAACATGACGGTGATGCTTCTAGAGAGATTAGGAGAATGTTCAGTAGAATGCTGGGAGAAGCAACTTGCATTTCATCAGTTAGGTATTGTTATGCTTCAGAGAAAGGAATACAAGGATGCAAAGCGTTGGTTTCAAAAGGCAGCTGAGGCAGGGCATGTTTATTCTACAGTGGGCGTTGCAAGGGCCAAATTTAAGCGTGATCACAAATATTCGGCTTACAAGATGATGAACTCTCTCATTTCCGATTATAAACCTGTTGGCTGGATGTATCAGGAAAGATCGTTGTATTGTGCTGGGAAGGAGAAAATGGCAGACTTGACATCTGCAACTGAATTAGATCCAACTCTTTCATTTCCATACAAATACCGGGCGGTTTCTTTGTTGGAGGAGAACAAGATTGGAGCTGCTGTTTCAGAAATCAATAAGATAATTGGTTTCAAGGTTTTGCCTGATTGTCTTGAATTGCGAGCTTGGTTCTTAATTGCCATGGGGGATTATGAAGGAGCCCTTAGGGATATCCGAGCACTCTTGACATTGGATCCGGACTATATGATGTTCTATGGTAATGTGCATGGTGACCACTTGGTAGAATTACTCAGTCCTATTGTTCAGCAGTGGAGTCAGGCCGATTGCTGGATGCAATTATATGATCGATGGTCCTGTGTTGATGACATTGGTTCTCTGGCTGTTGTACACCACATGTTAGCAAATGACCCAGGAAAAAGTCTTCTGCGCTTTCGGCAATCTCTCCTTCTGTTACGGTGAGTGCCCTTCATTTGTTAGATTATAAATTTCTTGTGTAATGAGTGAATTTCATCGTAAATTTTATTTTGACTTATCTAGACTTGTCCTCGGTAAGTATTCTCTGTCAATGGAACTGTTTTCATTGGACTGCTTTTCTGTATTAAGTATTAACAGTTGGGACGCATGATCTAAATACGACTACGGGAGCTTTTAATTTCTTTTCAGCTTAACTGATCATATTTTTTAACAGTACTTATCCCAACTAATTGCCACAGTGTACTTGGTTGTAGCTCAAGGAAATTGAAGCATGTTACTCAATCCATCAATGCAACCTAGGCTAATTGGCACAGTTGAACATTTTAATTGTCACTTGACTGTTTCAGTTGAGTTCATTATCCCTTGCCCAGATTTCATCTCTTTCTCAAGTTTCCCTTAGGGTGCATCCACACAAGAAGAATGGAAACTTATATTGGAAAATTTAGCATCAGACGAACTTGAGCATGATGAAATGTGTCTGTTTTCTGGTAGTGTGAAGCAGGAGAGTTTAGCCAGTAACTAGGTAGAGGTTTTCCTTCTAACAGCAAATTGCACGCAAAAGGCATGAAAAGCCATGGTATTTTCAATTTTCTTTCAAGATAGGGTCTTCATTTTCTTGGGGTCTCTGGCCAAGAGATTTGCAAGAACATAGCTAGCACTTCTCAATTTAATGTTCCCGAACTGAACATCTTTTATTTTAAGATCCTATTACTTCCCTAGTTGAAGAATTTAGTATTCTTGTTGAAGAAGCTACTTGGATAATCGCTATTCACTGGTCAGCATGTAATGTATCATTTATTTTTAAAAATTGCGCTCTTCTTTCTTGAAATCAAAAGATGCACTACACTGTTCCTCAGGCCTTAGTGCTCCTGCTTTTTCAACAGGAGAGAATTAAAAAGAGCGCTACATTGACCTCCCCTCCTACAAGCTATAAGTTATAATTACACATATCTTGATTAAGAAAAAAACATCCTCGTATATGTTTGTTAAAAATATCCTTTTATTTATTGTTTATATACAATGCATTTAACCATCATCAAAAAGTTAAAAGTAAAATAGATTCAAATTGATTGTTCTCTTTCAAAAATAAAGGACAAAAAAACAGTTGGATTGCTAGTGCTGCTGAGCTGTTTCTTTGTAACAGAGACACTTCTCTGCACTTTTTTGGTTAATGTGTGCCATTTACTTCCAAGTTGTTATTGTGCTTGTCTAGCTATAAGATGAATGGATTGGGTACTGATATCTCCTTTGGAAGACTAGTAGAATGTGTGGATCAATTACTAGGTACAAATTCTATCTCATTGATAGAGAATTGGGAGTTTTGATTATGCATTTTTGCTTAGCTCTGCTCCTTTGTAGTCACAATGCATGACTTACGGTGGGTGTTGATATGTTTGAATGTTTCAGGCTAAATTGTCAAAAGGCAGCCATGCGTAGCTTGCGACTGGCTAGAAATTATTCTACTTCTGAGCATGAAAGGCTTGTCTACGAAGGATGGATACTGTATGACACTGGTCATCGGGAAGAAGCATTAGCAAAGGCTGAACAGTCCATTTCCATCCAAAGATCATTTGAAGCTTTTTTTCTTAAAGCTTATGCATTAGCAGATTCAAGTCTTGATCCAGAGTCTTCAAAGTATGTCATCCGTCTTTTGGATCAAGCTCTTAAATGCCCTTCAGATGGTCTTCGAAAAGGACAAGTGAGTGTTATTGTGATTTTTCAGACTAAATATATTTAACTTGATCTTAGTGCTGAAACAGTGAATTTGTCCTTTGTCATTCTTTTACATTGTAGGCACTAAATAATCTTGGAAGTGTCTATGTAGATTGCGATGAGCTTGACCTTGCTGCTGACTGCTACACGAATGCTCTAAACATCAAGCATACACGAGCACATCAAGGTCTAGCGCGGGTGTATTATCTTAAACATCAGCGCAAAGCTGCATATGATGAGATGACAAAGTTAATAGAAAAGGCACGGAACAATGCATCAGCCTATGAGAAACGATCAGAATATTGTGACCGTGACATGGCAAAGAATGATCTTAGTATGGCAACACAGTTGGATCCCTTAAGGACATATCCTTACAGATATAGGGCAGCAGGTAAATACTGTAGAACCGATCTTTTTTTTATTTGATATTTCATTCCTTTTGTGATGGCGTCAGGAAGGGAGAAATTTTGGATGTGACTAGAAGCTCTTCTATTGACTTCTTCTGCATCTGTCATGACTAGACTGTTTTGTTATTATGAGTCCCAGATTTTTCAGTGATCTCGTGACTAGAGGATTTCCTATTTACTGTTTTGAATGAAAAACCACATGATCAGTTGGAGGAACTTGATTGATTGAAGATATTTATATTTCTATAATGAATCAGATATACTTGATAGGAGTTCTACACTCCCCACTTATTTACCCTTATTTCATCACAAATTTTATTCCTCTGCGTGATTTGTCCATCGTCTTTACCTTACATCTTCTTTCTTGCCAAGTGCCAGTTAATGGCGTCTCCCCTGTGGCATAGAAAGTTAATTACCCTATAAATGATCATATCCTGCCGCCCCAATTGTTGCTTGGGATAACTAGTCTTTGTTTCTATGTAGCGTGGAAATTGCAAACTTGGTGAAGTGGAAAGCTTGTGTTAATATCTTTACTTATGCATTGGATATGCTTGAGTTTCATAATCTTTCTTCTTCCTTCGTATCGGACCTGTCCCATTAACGTCTTGGGTCTCAGTTTCATAAGCTATCAATTATACTTGAATGGAATACCATCATGGTCATACTTGTGTCTTCCCATAATATTATACTGGTGTTCCTCCTCCTTTTTTTTTATAATATTGAAAATTAATTGCATGGAAAAGTGATGCAATGCTCCATGGAGTGTTTAAGTGGGTTAGTCATAATAATCACAACAGAGCATTGCAATCATGATAATGTATGTCACATTGTCCTACAAAACCTTTCGTGTTCTAACATGGGAACTATGGCTACCAGTTCTGATGGATGATCATAAGGAAGCTGAAGCAATAGAAGAGCTTACGAGGGCTATTGCTTTTAAGCCAGACCCGCAACTACTACATCTTCGGGCAGCTTTTCATGAATCAATGGGCGATTATGTTTCCACGGTGCGAGATTGTGAAGCGGCCCTTTGCATTGATCCAGGGCATGCCGACACGCTCGAACTTTGTAAGAAAGCGCAGGAGGGGATCAAGGAACAGAAGTGAGAGAATGAGAAATCAGTAATCATGTTCTCTCTGTTCCACGTGGGAATAAGACTGGTGTTACTGCCATGCTGTGTTGTAAACACAAGAAAGTCTGGTAATCATCGGTATGATTTTATCTATTGGTTTTTGTTTCCTGAGAAATGATGGGACTATATCTCTTAGGCCTGCATTCTGGAAACTGACATAGAAGGGAAAAGAAAAAGTTGAGATGGTCAATGATTTTAGACAGAAGGGGAAGTAGAGGAGCAAGATAGACTGTAAATAGTTGTAATGGGTTGTGGTTTTCAGAGCTCATGGTTCAAGCAGTGCAGAGAACTGTTACTGCTTTGCTCCTTGATACCACGCCAGCAAGAGTGGTGATAAGTTACCTCAATTAGACGAAGCATGTACATGAAGGGACTATCTATTTTCAGGTCTTCGGTTTAGATATTTTATGGCTATATTTTTGGAAGAGCAAATTCAAATGTTGTAACTTTTTTTTCATACTCTCTCCTCTCTGATGTATAAAAGACAATTTTCTCATTATCAGACTCTTTTTATCGGCTATTCACGTGATATAATTATTATAAATTTTTTAAAATAAAAACATAGTTTATAGTTAAATAATAGTTAAACTTCAAGCATTTTATTTTATTCATTTCAGATCAATGAGGTAAAGTTTTTATGAAACAAATATAATTTATATTAAAAATAATTACAATCTTGAAAAAAATATTAAATTATTATTATTTTTTGCCAGAAATATTAAATTATTGTATATGCCCTAGACTGGATGAGCAAAATAGACATATGAAGATGATAACTAGAGAAATATGAAATAGCCAAGTCTCCGAAAATTCTTTTGTTTAATAGAATGTATGGACTTGTGGGTTAATGGGGTTGGATTTATTAGAAGAGACTAATTTCTTATAACATAATTAATGTTCAAAATTTTCATGAAAAGAGGTGCAAACATATTGTACCCAACCATGCCTCGCCTTAAATGTTAGAAGTATGGATTCGTTGATAATGATTCTAATCTTAACTCATGGCCTATTAGAAGTAGAAGGCGCAAGGGGGGATTCTCATGGCCAGAAATAGATAAACTAAACATTGATAGTGCCGCAAGGGGAGTCCAAGAGCGATGGAATGCGGAGGAGTATTCAGAAACAATGACGAAGTCTGGATTGGTGGTTTTGTGTGTAAGTTGGGTTCGTATATAGCAAAGGCATGCAAGCTATAGAGTGTTTTTCATGGTGTCGAGGTCTAACCAAGATGATAATTGAGAGTGACTCAGCCTCCATTGTGAAGGAGTTACAAGATGCAATCGATGGAAGAGAACTGCAGCAACGGCATATTGGACAGATACTGAACATTATAATTTGACGAATGGAAGGTGATTGTGCATCATGCATATCGAGAAAACAATTTGTGCAGATTGGCTCATGGAATTCAGCATTAATCAAAGTTATGAATGTAAAGTATCTGAGCTTTCTAAAATTGAAAAGATTTTTTGTAGAGGTTGGATCCAGGTAAGGGTGATATGCATCTAATTTTATTTCTGTTATTTAGTTTTGAGCTTCGTTTGCTGACATGAAGTTTATCAACAAAAGTAGGCACTTTTTGACTCTTTCGGAGTCCATAAGATGAAATTAATACCAACACGACACGAGTTACCTTTCACCCGTGCTTTTGCTGCTTGGCGGCACGTAGTGCACTTCAACTTTGCCCGTATCTCATTTTTGCAGAGGCAGCGGGGGACCAAATTAATTAAGATTCTTTTGAATTACTAAAATGATCGTATATGATACATTTAGAAAGAAATAGGAAAAAAAATGAATACAGTAAGAAGACCACTTCATGCGCAATGGTATATATCCTATACTCTAAATTGTGATGCTAAAATACAAAATCCTTTGATTTGCAATGTTAGAATGAAGAAATATAAAATTAAAAAAATTCCCTTTTGTTAACCTTGTTCTATTGTAATTTAAATCTTTTACACAACATAAAATGAAGACGTTCCAGCATCACAAAACTAAACTGTTTCAATTTCATTTGTATTCAAATTGATTTATCATGGATTAAGACTTATTTCCATAACTCTCCCTCTCTGCAGAGCTTTATCTTCCTCCAATGCTTTCACAAGAAGCTTTTTCATGGATTAATTTTAAGATATTATTTGTTTCATCTTTTAGTACAAGATTTCCACAAGCTAGTTTCTCTATTTAGCTCAATTGAATTTAATATTTCTAATGATCCTCGTTTATTGTCTCATTCTCTTTTATACTTTTTTCTACTACTCATGTATTGTAAACTCTTGTTTTTTTTAATGATATTATTGATTTTATTATATAAAAATATGCAATGATATATATTTTTATATATATATATATATATATGTATAGTACAACCATATAATTTTCTTTTTCGAAGACCAAACATGGGTTTGCTATGATATGCTTGATTTTGATATTGACGGGCCTTTGAAAAGGGTTTCTTGCTTGTTCTCTATGGCAGTGCCCACTTTTTTGTTTCCTTATCGATGTGAGTCGCAAGATTTTTTTTTTTTTTCGGGGTAAGCAAAGATATTGTTTTTGGATACAATACGAGGGAATGGGACAAAAACCTTAAGGAGGGTCAATAAAGTCCAAGCAAAGTTAGTGGTTACAATCTCTTTGTGAGATTCTTGAAAAATAAAGCCTCCGAGTCAATATTATGAGCCATGTTAACAATTTAATCAGCACCAGAATTAGCTTACTTACGATCATGTTTATAGTTTGTCAGTAACCTCTTAAACCTCATTAAAAGCCTCTTGATATCTTGCAGTTTTAAAAAGTGAAAATTTATTTTATGTACAAATGAGATTATAAGACTAAGATCTAACTAGTCAGATAAGTACGCCCCACTTCACATTTAGAACCAAGTGGGTTTATCAAAGATACACCGAATATATCAAATATGTATAACCCAGTGATGATACTTGGACATATTGTTCTGGGTCCTTGTTTTTCTAGAATCTTTTCCTGCATGAAAGATTGGAAAGGACACCTGTGACCATTTTAAAGTACAATAACTTTTTTTAAAGTACAATAACTTTTTTAAATGACTTTCACGAGATATCCGTATCTTCATCTGCTTCTATTTATCCCAACCAACTTCACTAGATGTCAAGAAATTATCTCTGACACTTCTTCCATGGTAATTGAACAAGCTCCAGCTGCTCCAGCCCATTAAATCTGGAGCTAGAGCATCAAGGAGACAATGGATGTGAAACGTCCTAGAAAGTTAGACTTGAACAAACCCCTCTTGTCTACAAAGCGTCTTAGCATAGTTGTTGCAGACACATCTTGTTCATCAACCTCAGTCGGCAAAACTGTACAGAACAACACAAGTGAAGAAAGAGTTCCATTTTCATGGGAAAAAGCTGCAGGCAAACCAAAAGATGCTGATGATCATAATGAGGAAGAAACCCCTCGGTTAAGATTACCTCCTTGCCTTTGGCATTCTCCAAATCAAGAACCAGAAGCAGATGAAGCAGATATGGGTGATGATCATCATCGAGATGAAGGTTGTGTTGATGATGGTAGTAGTGGCGGCGGCGGTGATGATGAAGAAAAGTTTGACAGTGATTTTTTATCAGATGCTATGGAAGTTTTTTCCCTGTCAGAGGCATTAGATATTGTCCAGAAATCAGAGAAAGCTCGAAGGAAAAGCGCGAATGAAGGCTTAAGATTGAGGCTTGAAGAAGAGTCCAATAATGGGAATGAGTCTCCTAATTATTTGATCAAACGCTTTCTTCCAGATGCTACTGCTTTGGCTGCATCATCTACATTGCATTTCTCCAAGAGTATGATGGACAAGAAGATTTGTGATAGCTCTAGCAGCTATCTGGAGGCTTATGTGGCTTCACCAAAGGGTTGTGGCTTGGAAGTTTTATTCCCATGGAGGTTGAAACACAAGCTTTGTGCTATGAAAAGCCCTGTTTTGCCATGCTCAGGTACAAGTATGCAGAAGCAGCACCAGAACAGAAGAAAAGTAAGACGATCAGCTCACAAGGACTGTACGAAGTGTGAAGATAATTGATGAATATTCATCCTGGTTTGGTCTACTCTATACATATTTCTTACTTTTACCTGCTTGTAATTCTTTCCTACCATTTTTCTTGTATACATAATTATCGTTCTATTTTTCCTTTCCCTGCTTGCACATTCTGTTTGCCAATGCTTTACATTCAATAGACTATCAGAAAGTCAACTCTGCCGTGGCAATGGTTCATTTTTGCTATTTCAAGAGACTTGGGCAGCCGTGGGTTTAGCGTCTTTTGATATGTGATCAATTGGGGATAATTATCAGTTAGAACCTGAAAATAAATTTAAAAGGACCATGCGGTTTATTCATAATATCAAAATATTAGTTATTGATTCAGCCGACTTATGGCATGCAATCACATTCCCCACCACAACCCCCTCAAAAAAAAAAAAAAAAAATTCCAAACCAAAAAAACAACGAATTCATAATGATTATTTTCGAAATCAGTCTTCACAATGAGGTTTAAAATCAGTTTGTTAGCATGCATCCATTAATTACAATGTACCCTACACTGTATCATAATTTATCAAACTCCTAAATATTTTATCAAAAAAACATGTCACATAGTATGTTTGAGATGATGATGATTCATTTTAAAACAACGTTTTGAAAAAAAAAAAAAAAAGCTCAAGATAGTGGCTTAGTGACCCTCTTAAACACACTATACATCTTTAACGGTCAATAAATATTTTGCACGTATATGATTCATTTATAGTTTTCCAACCATGATCTTTTTTTTTGACTGTAGTCAACCTCGTAAACTAAATTGATTCAATTAATTTATTATTAAATATGGCTGGAGTAGTTCTGAGAATGTTTTAAGCCACTCCCCTTTCTCTTCATATATATATATATATATATATATATCAGTGAATGAGTCAGGATTTTGGGTTAGGGGGCAATGATAGAGTTAGGATTCTCGATAAAAGAAAAACATTTTTGTCCTTTTTAAATCAACTATTTCTCTTTTTTTTTCTTTATTTCCTATCCAGCTTTCAATTGTAGATTTGTAAGTGCAGTGAGTTGACGAAAAACATTCACCCAATTTACTCTTGAGTTTTGAATTTTCATATTTATCATTGTTTTTTTTAACTAATTCTTGAGTAGTATTCAAGACGAGGATTGAGTCTATTTAGTCATACTAGATTTTTTTTAATTTTTAAACAATTAATAAATAATATTAGTATTTAGGTATAGTGAAATTGTGAATTAATATTCATGAGGCTAAGTTAAAAATTTGAATAGATCTTGACTAAAAAAGTAAGATTGAAATGGGTTTAAATTTTAAAATATGAAAATATGGGGATGCAAAATATAATAAGTAAAAAGTATAAATTATAAAGTATAAAAACCTATATTCTAACATGTCATTTTTTTCAAGTGAGGGGGGCATATGCTCCCTCTCAATTACATGTGGCTACGCCACTGACATATATATATATATATATATATATAATATACAAAGAACAAAATAGATGTACAAAAGAACAAAAAATAAACAGATAAAGAATATAGGATAAATGTGTATTTTTATCTTTAAAATATTTTTTGAGAAGCATCCAATACCTTAATATTTTTGTTGGAGTAATTTTACCTTCAAAATTATTAAAACAAAGTATTTTTGCTTTTTTTGTTAAAGTTTCTAATAGTTAACGTTTGAGGTCAACATTCAAAATTTGATAGAAAGGAAAACAAATACATCATTTAAATAACTTTAAGGGTGAAATTGCTCCAAAAATGTTGGGTGTTGGGTGCTTCTCAAAAAATACTTAAGGGAAAAAATGTATCTTTACCCAAGAATATAGGGGGAATTGCACTGCAGGCCCTAAAAACAGAAAAAATTGCACTGTAGGCCTAAATAAGTTTGATAATATACTGCAAGCCAAAGAGTTCTTGTTATAATTTTTTTTGAAAGTGAAAGTACAATTTTGCCCTTGTGTGATTTGAAAACTCGGAACATGCATGAAACACATCAATGAAGCACAACACGATATTTATGAACTCTCAACACAATGTCCATGCATATCCAGTTGATTTATAGGTTAATTAAAATATGCAATTTTTTTTGAGAGCGAAAGTACAATTTTGCCCTTAATCAAAATGAAAGAAACAAATTGAAAGTGGTTGAATGATCAATCTAACATGTATGGACATTCAGTTGAGAATATATGAATATCATGTTGTGTATCTATGGACATTGTGTTGTGTATTGTTTGTGTAATTCTTTATATTTTATTAAACTTATTGATTAACTTGACACGCATGGACATTTAGTTAAAAATGCATGAACATCGTGTTATGTGTCTACGAAAATTGTATTGTACATTATCTACGTAACTTGTATTTTTATTAAACCTTTGATCAATTAAACATGCATAGACATTGTATTGAGAATTCATAAATATTGTATTGTGCATGCTTTGTGTGACTTGTGTATTTTAATTAACCTGCAGATCAAATGAATACACATGGACATTGTGTTGAAAATTTATGAACATCATATTGAGAATTCATGAATATCGTGTTGTGTTTCGTGGATGAGAATTTCACACAAGTTTTGAGTTTTTAAATCACACAAGGACAAAATTGTATCTTTATTCTCAAAAAAAATTACAATAAGGGCCGTTGAACCTGCAGTGCATTATCAAAATTTATTAAGCTTAAAGTACAATTTTTCTATTTTTTAAGGACTGCAATGCGGTTCTCCCAAAAATATAAATGGTTGTATCATACGAAAAACAAAAATAGAGAGCATGGGTGACAACTATGGGTATGGAGAAAACGCAAATTAAGGGGAAATGAAAGGAAATAACAGAGCAGGAGCTCCAAGTATGGGGATACAAATTAAGGGGAAATAAAGGAAAAAATAACAGATTGTATTAAGATTCTATGTATGCTATCTACCTGTTTCTGTAGACATGCTATTCATGCTGGAGGATAAATTAAGCGATCTTGAGACTACACTACCACTCTCACCTTCTAAGAAATCCAAGCTCATTCTACTGCTCAGAGAATCCTTGTGTCGGATACCGGCAATATTAGGAAGCGGGTCATCAAAGTTTAGGTACCTCGTCAGCTGTCTCATGGTGGGCCTTGAATCTTCATTATATTGAGAACAAAGAAGACCCAGTTTTAGAACCAATTCCACCTCTTCTGCATCAGCTGAGTTCAACTTTGGATCAACAACTTCAAGAATCTGACCCAAGCGGTAATTCTCAATAACCCAATCTACCAAAATGAATTGTCCTGAGCCAATGGGCCTTCTCCCACTAACCACTTCAAGGAGCAAAACCCCATAAGCATACACATCCGAACTTGTAGAAGCCTTTCCTGTGCGAGTTAATTCTGGTGCGATGTACCCAATTGTTCCCACCACACTAGTTGTGTGTGATGCTTCACCATGATCATATAGCCTTGCTAGACCGAAGTCACCTAAACGAGCATTCAAATCTCCGTCTATGAGAATATTGCTGGTTTTGATGTCTCTATGGACCACCACTTGCTCCCACTCTTCATGAAGATATAATAGTCCATTAGCTATCCCTTTGATGATATTGAACCTTCGGTCCCAATTCAAAACAAAGCTTTGATTATAGAGGAGTGAGTCAAGACTTCCATTGGGTATATAATCATAGATTAGAAGAAGATTATGCTTTTGCTTACACCATCCCTGAAGATTGACTAAATTCTTGTGTCTTAACCTTCCTAAGCTTTCAATCTCAGCTGCGAATTCCCTCATTCCGTGAATTGGGCTTCGAACAATCCTCTTCACAGCAACCTCAGCTCCTGTGGAGGGTAAGACACCTTTGTAGACAGCACCAAAGCCTCCAACTCCTATTAGCTCACTCTCCTTGAAACCTTTCGTTGCCGTGTGAAGATCTCTGTATCTGAATCTGTGAGGACAATCTAGCTCCCAATCCTCTAGAGCTTCAAAATTAGTGTACCTCTTGTACAGTGTTACAGAACACAAAGAAACCAACAATATCAAGGTTAAAGCAGACAGAACTCCTATAGCAAAGTTGACCCAAGGAAAAGAGGAAGGGTCTTTCACTTTTGGTGGTGGGCGTGGAAGCCTGGAAGTGTAGAGCAAAGGAGCGGGGGCATTGACAGCAAAGCTCCATCCCAGAATGTAATGAGAGCTTGCTTTACTTGCCCTACCTGTTGATGCAGAGAAACCAATATACACGATGTCTGTTAAATTACCAGCAAGGTTAATGGGATGATAGGAAATAAGTGGTTTGGAGGGTTTAGTTGCCGATGTTGGAGCTATGGTCACATTCACAATTTGCTCATCACCATCGTAATCTATCCAAGCTTGTACACCATCAACTCGCTCCAAACTGATGTTTTCCAACTTTTGAGCATCTAGGCGTTGTTCAATAATGTAAGCAGCTGGCGTGTCAACGAGCGAGACAATGCCATTGAGATTGACCCCAACATGGCTACCTTCAGTGTCATATTCCCCTTTACCGGCGCCACTAACCTGTAAACACAAATATTGTGTCAAAAGTAAAAGAAAAATTTGATGAACAATTCAATTTTAATGTTCCACTGGATACACCTTATCTCGATTCTGCCCCCAAAGTTCATACGTTATATTTTAATCTTTCAAAAGATTGTTTCGATTATAAAATGATTCCCATTTATCCCGGATAAACGCAAGGACCAATAGTTTAAAACATTACCGTATCAAATTCGACTGCAAATATGTGATTTGAAGTGATCCCATCATTGGCACGGTTAAAAAGACCAAGGTAGTGTTGAGCTTCCGCCTCTGGGAATTGGGCTTTTGGTGCTATGGTGAAAGCGAGGCCAAAGCCTCCTGGGCCAGTGGTTGGCGAGACAATGGAGAAAACGAAGGTTGTGCTGAAGGAAGCAGCTTTTCGGTGTGGGGTTGAATTAGAAAGCAGTTGAATGGGTTGGGAGAAGAAAACACGACCTGAAATGTCATTTGATGTGTTGGTGAGCCTGAGCAAACCACTGGGTTTGATAATGGTAGCTCCATCAAGGATAAGTTCATGAGTTTCATCAGCATTATTGAATCCATGGTACGTAAAAGGGACCTCTCGTTGGGCCTGGGGTACAGCTAAGAGTGAAAGAAAGAGGAGGAAGAAACCAATCGTCGATGACGATGCTGCCATCGGAAAAAAGGATAAAATAATGCTCAGAGATTCAGTGGTTTGAATTTTGATGCTACAATATAACAATTGGATGAAGTCTGAGAGGATAGACCTGGCTGGGTCAAAGTCTCCACCACTTAATAGGCAAGACCAGTTAGGAATCGAGTTAATGGCACTGAACAGGGACAGTGACCACTTCAATTTGAATGTTCAAATCTCAAATTAAAACACAAGCCTAATAGTTACCATATCTTGTGCTGTATCTGAGTTAATAGAAGTAATTCAGATCAAAAAATTGCGCCCATCGACACAAATTTAAAAGGGAAATCATGTATAGGTCTAATGTAACAGATTTATTTATCAATAAATCTTATAAAATTCAAAAACATAATTAGATCTCTATGTAATAGTAATTTGATTGTTAATAAGTCTAATTAGAGTGATCTCATGATCTCTCTATTTAATTGTAATTTAAAATTGAAGTGTAAAGATAATAATGCTTTTATTAAAAATATATTACATCAATCAAATAATTTATAACTATTTTATCAATAATTTATAATTATTATTTTAACTTTTTACAATTATAACTCTATATATTCAATATTTAAATTGATCATACACTACAAGTTTGATACTAATTGTATACAATTACTTCAACAATAATTTACAACTATCACTTCAACATTTTACAATAATAATTTTACATATTTAATAATTAAATTGATTATGTATGCCAACAAAGTTCAACACAAATTGTTCATAACTATCATATCAGTAATTTATAACTCATCCTTTAATATTTTACAATTGTAACTTTAGTATTTTTAATAGGGACAATATTGTCTTGTATTTCAAATTCAAATTACACTTAGATTTTAAAAGACTTAATTATAATTTTAAATTTTACAGTATTTATTTATAAGTAAATATGTTAAATTTTATATTTTATAATAGTAATTTCACATATTTAATAGTTAAATCGATTATGTATTGCCAATAAAGTTCAACACAAATTGTTCATAACTATCACATTAGTAATTTATAACTCACCCTTTAATATTTTACAATTTTAACTTTAATATTTTTAATAGAGATAATATTGTCTTGTATTTCAAATTCAAATTACACTTAGATTTTAAAAGATTTAATTATAATTTTTAAATTTTACAGTATTTATTTACAAGTAAATATGTTCCAAAAAACTTATACATAATTTTTTCAATTTTTTAATACTTATCCATAGAACTTATCGGGGAAAGGAACTAAGCGAAAAAGTCCACATAATAGCCTCTAATAGAAGGCACAAGTCCCGATCATCACTGTCTTTTTGGAGGCCAATACAGATGCCGTCTGCGAGGGATGCCATGTTCACTGATTTCTATATGTATTAACCGTCACGATGCGTTCCTGTTCCTTGATCAAATTAATAAACATGCTTTGATTTCTCTACTTTCTCAAGCACTGGTGGAGCAGTTCCTGATGATGCTTTTACCATTCACTGAACAAGTTGAGATGAACTAGCCGCGCCTTTAATTATTTCCAGAAGATAGACTCTTGGAAGAAGAGGGTTCATGACTTCATTCTCTTCATTATTTCCCCGCCTTTAATTGGCATCATTTCCAATTCTTCCATGAATTTAATACCTTTGGCATGTAGGCTCATTCAATTAAGCAAGTCTCTCTCTCTCTCACAAGTCACACACACAATGACAAAAGCGCGTTATTATTGAAAGAAGATTGTGGGGCTGGCGGCGAGAGTTTGAGTTCGTTGGAAGGAGTCATGGCTGTGAGGAGATTACCAATGGAATGGAACCGGTTTCTCTACTCATCTCATGTGCTAATCTCTAAAATGAGATTTCAACCATTCAAGTTTTAATATTAAAATATTATTATATTATTTTATATTATATTTATTAAAATAAAATTTTATAAAAATTATAAAATAATTTTAATAATTTTTTATTTTTAATATGGTCTTATTTATTTGGAAACTCTAATTTAATATTAAATTTTTTATAATTAATATATATTGATTATCCAGATACATTCTGCACAGTTTAAATAAAAATTTTAATTTTAAATTGGATCTTTTAAATTAAATCTAAACCAAATTAAAAATAAAAAATTTATTAAAATTATTTATAAATTTTATTTAATAAATATAATATAATATAATATTTTAAATTTGAATCGTTCGGATCAAACCTAAATGGTTTATATCTCATTCCTGGGACGAGCAGAAAACCGATCCCATTAGGAATACGAATATGTTCTCCACTTGGAAAGAGACAACAAGGCTTTTCAACCTATTCAATTGTATCATGCCATTTCTATTTTTTATTTTTAAAAATATCATCAAAAGTTTTTATTGATGGACCTATTACTCTTACAAAATATTTTTGCATTTGTATTTTCTTTTCGCTTTCATCTCTAGCTACTCGCCATTTGATAAGTTGTCTCTAAATTAAATTTTTTATAAAAACAATGTCAAACATAAATTTTAGGGAGAATTTCATATCAAGACCATTGATGTGACTTAATTAAAATTTAGGATCAAATAAATATGAAAATATATCAATATTAAAATGAAAATAATTTTGCAAGACAAATGATTAAAGTGTCATCAATACAAATGAAAAAAGAAAATGTAAATAGCTCTTTAATATGATGCGGAAGCATAACATGACTTGCTAAATCCATTACACTACTTGCCAAATCTATAACATTGTATATGAATTTATCAGGCCTCAATTAAATCTATAATTTGTTAAATGATTATCTTAACTTTTTAAAAATGTTATGTCACTTATAATTCATTTATATTACTTGATAAGTCCATTGTATTGCTTGTTAATCATCTGACTTGTGTTAAATCCATTACAACTTGTTAAATTATTATTTATCTTATAAAATCCATTATCTTATTTCACGCTGCAACTGATATAGTAAGGGATTTAACATTATATGTTAAATTATTAGCTTAACTTGTAAAATTTAGTATGCATTTAGCAAAATAAGGGATTTAACAAATTATAAGTCATATCATGCGTTTAACAAGTTATGTTAAGTAACTAGAAAATAATCCCGTGCATTGCATGGGTATCCAAAAATAATTGATATTATATTCAAATATTATTTTTAATAATAAAAAAGAAAAAGATAGAGCATCATAAAATATTTTTACTAATAAATGTCCAACTTAACACAAAAGTAAGAAACATAATGGGAGAATATGATATTTAGATGGAGGAATGTATCTTTTATATTCATTAACTAATACTCCATCCGTTTAAACATGTAATGTATTTTTTAAAAATTTAAATATTAAAAAATATAAAATATTTTTAGTCTTTTAATGTGTAATTATTAATTTTTTAAAATACCTCTATTAAATAAATTATTTTATATTTATTTTAAGGTGAAATACCTTATTAAATAATAGTAAATATGAAAAGATAAAATTAGTTTGAAGACAAGTAACTATTTTATGAAAGATAATATTTAATTAAAGATATCTTATATTTTTTAACAGAAGGTATAGTTGATGATAAAAGTAGTAGGGACATTGGAGGAATTAAAGTAACACGAATATCCGAATACATTAATTATAGTAATTTGAATTTGAACAAAAGGAAGATAGGGAGAATGAATGATGATTAGGATTTGAGAAAATCTTATTAATATTGAGTATCGAGAAAATTTTAATATAAATAACTAGATGGAATAAATTATGAATTATTAAATATTATTTGGAGAAGTTTTATCCATTTTTTTTAATGTATTTCTATGTCAAATTATCGTTTTTGTAAAACTATTAACTACAGGGAATGAGACTTAAAAGTCCCCGTAACTAAAAATTAATATGTAATGATGCATGCGGATGTAACTAATCATGCGATTGCTAAGTGGTCACACAAAACATTTAACCGAACAATATTTTCAAACAAATCGAACAAGTATTTAATTGCATGATTGCACCCCTTATATCCTTCTTTCACCATGCTCGGACGCCAAATCACCCGGCCAAAGGTGAGTTGGACCAAGCGACACGCCACTCATTGGGTCCAATGAGGGCTTACCACGTGGTAATAATTAACCGAACAGAAATTCCCATTAACACCATACATTAAAATACCCTGACAAGTCATGCATCATTCAAATATCCAAACAGGAATATATCCGAACAATAATATCTCATCATGATAAACAAAAATAAATTTTTAACCACTTGGCAATAATTCAAACAAGTATATACAGTATTTTTTTTCAATAATTCATAATTTTTCCAAACAACAAAACAACACATAACCATTCACAAACACACTCATTACAACACATTAATAATGGTTACCTTGTGTCTTGAATAACAAGTTCCCCTTCACAACTCCTTTTTCACCACTATCTTTGTCAATATAATCTACATAATTATTTCACAATACTATATATTAATTTTACATTAAAATAAATAACTCTAATTTAAATAGTTAGAAAGTCTTAGATCTATAATCTATATTAACACTAATTTAAGATTTATGCCTCATTTAACTTCCTAAATTCTTTTCTAAAATTCTCGTACCCTAATAAATTATTTTTTTTATCCTCAAATCACTTCTAGTATCACAATTTCATCTTTCTATATTCTAAAAATTCATCCAAAAATAAATTAAATTTTAAAATTATCTTGAAGCCTCAAATCACCTTTCTATAACCTCAAAAATACTTATTCATACTTAAATAAATATTTAATAATCATAAGTTTATCCCTACATCTCAGATTCCACATAAATTCAACATATAGATCTAGATTTTAACTCAAAAATTCTTAAACATGAGTTTCAATCTCAAGAAAATATTCTATAATATTTATTATATCCCTAAGAGTTTTAACCTATAGTTTTAATCCATCATATCATCAGATTAACTATCCTATAGAAAAAAAATTCTAATCAGAATATTTACTCTATCCTATAAAATAATCATATCACTAGAAAGCTAATGTTATTTAGAAAATAACTATAAAATTAATTTTGTAATTAAATAAATTTTTAAATGCTAATCTAA